ATCATTACACCAATCATATACCTTTTCCTCTAAGCGCACCTTGCATAATTAGAGCACAAATAATACTTGCAATATAAAATAGTGCACGTCATACGAAATTCACAAAGTATAACCAAACAATTTAACTCAGTCATCCCTATACATGATACTAAGTTCTCGATCCGTCCTTAAACATGCACCTAAAAGAAAGGTTTCGTAACTTGTACGTATCTTGAGCAAACGAATTGGTATGCCACTTTACTAACTAGAAATCACCTTCAATAAACTCCTCTCCTAAGTCAAATAATAACATCTCAATCAATACCCAATCAATTAAATTTACAGCAATACGAACTTACTTAAAACCTTCAAAATCCAAATCAAACAACACTTTAAAACCTTCCCTTTAGTTAAAATTAAAGGCTTATATATAGTTCCTTAAATTTTCTTCATAAAAACCTTAAAATACACTCTTATACATGAAATTACAGCAAGTTCAAAGTCTAATAAAAATCTGAAAATTATATAAAAACCCCTAATAATCTCCCTTTTTAATGGGTGATTAAACCCTCTTTATAAAACATCAAAAGTAGTACTTAGAAACTATTTCCAACACTTAAAACTTCAATAAAAACATATATTTATGCTTAATTAACTTTAAACATAATTAATTTTATTAATCAAACTCAAGGATAATATTTTAAGTATAAAAAAACTTCGTTAAAATCAAAAACTGCCCGAAAATCATATTTAGAGGCTGAATTTGGCCGAAAATCAAGGATAATATTTTAAGTATAAAAAAACTTCGTTAAAATCTTAAAACGTTGTTTTCACATGGAAAACACTACTTTTTCATCAAAATTGGATGAGTTCAGAATCTGATTGGGATTAAACGAGATTAATATTAACGAACGAAAATCTAAAAATTAAAACACGAATCTACGTGTTCAAAATAATCTGGAATTAAGTTAAACTAATCAGTAGTTATAATCACCAAAATTTCAAAACATCATTACTATAAAAGCCCTAAATCAATTGTTCATAAAAACCCTAAAATCATGATTTTCAATAAATTGAAACCCTAGGTTTATAATTCATAAAATATGAAAATTTATAACATAAATATAATCTGAAATTTATAATCTTTATACCACTAAAATATAATTTGATACTAAAAATATAATCTTTATACTAAAATCAAAACCTAAAACAATTAAATTAACATTAAGCAAAATTATGAAACAAAGGAGGATGAAAATAAGACTAACCTTTTTGTGTGGGAAATTTTTGGAGATTCATGGGGTATTTATAAGAGAGAATTATTGTAGGGTAAAAAGGAAGATTGGGCCTCATAAAAATAATGGGTCAATTAAGTAAACAAATGGGTTAGGCTTGTTTGATTGGACATAAATTGTAGAATAAAGGTGCATAAAATAATTTGTTCAAATAATTTTTGACCCAGATTAATAATTTGAAATTAAATTCCGAAAAATAACAAATAAATATTATAAATAAAATAAAATTTTATTTATAAAATATTTTAAAAATACGGAGGATTACAATAACTTACTACTACTATCATATATATACCTAATTAAGAATAGGCCAGGAATTCCAAAATAAAGTAACCTCCCAAAGTTCTTTTATCTATTATTGGTAAAGTTATTGAACTTTGGTTTAGTTTCATATAATTGTCTTGCATAGTTGGATTATTGTTCCTTTGCATAATTTGCTTGTTCTTATAATTGGCTTGTTCCTTTTGCATACCGTACGTCTAAAGCTTTCAAGATGAGAAGAACCTTAGGTCTTTAAACAATCTAAAGCTTCTTTAATTAAACCCATTGAAACCCTGATTTGTTTAACCTTAATCAAATACTATATCTAAAGCTTCTTTAATTTATTGAAATGTGCTAATGTTTTGCTTGTCATCTGGTTTGTTTATTGAATTGATTTTTTTTGTTGTATTTATATGTTGCAGGGTGCAGATGATTATGCATTAGATAATGATGCAAACAACAAATCTGATAAGTATGACAAAGATTAAGAAATGAATTTTATTCTATTTCTTGTTGGACATATAGATCACAAAGTGGTTAAAAAATGTAGAAAAAGAGTTTAGAAATTTTTGTTATATTTTGAACGTATGCATATATATTGTGTTAAGTTTATATCTTACTCCGTAAAAGCTTTGCTTTACTAAAAAAATATGAGATACATTTCATTATTTGAGATGCTAGTATAGTAAGTGATTGGGTTTGCTATCTTTGGATGCTATTTTTAATGCTTATCTGCCTTTAGATTTTAGCTTGCTTATTGGCTAATTATACTGTATTAATATGATTTCATTATTAATAGATTATATAATAGGAGTTGGTATACACACACACACACACACACACACACACACACACACACACACACACACACACATATATATATATATACTAGGTTAAGTCCCGTGCCATGCACGGTAATTTTTAATACTTAATACTTATCATTAGTTTAACACTATTATTTAATTATAAAAAATTCTACCTAATTGCAAAAAAGGATGAAAATTTTGTAATTACAAAAAAAAAATTTAAATATATCACACTAAAGAAATCAGAGACAATAATATATGCACGACTAATAAAAATAACTATGAATTACATTACAAAGTTACATAAACTATTATTGCATATTATTGTATAAAAAAATAATATCTTTGTTTGAATGTGGAATATACTTATCAAATAGGTAATGAAATATTATTGCATAGTTTGTATTAAAAACTTCTCTAAGAAGCTTTGGCCAAAAAAATAAAAAAAAACTTTTGGGGGAAATTTTTTTAACCAGGATATGACATGTCTCATTCCTGGTTTCGCCTTTAGTATAAAGTTATAGATAGATATTTGCACAAAAAGTTTTCAAGTCAATGTCGTCTCATGATTGGGTTGTGTTCTTTGTAGGAAACTTAAAGAGAGCCACAATCTAGTAGACTGGAGTTAGAGCTTCAAAATGAGCTGATTATCGCCAAAACAAATCAAGATCTATATAATTGTGCATAAAGAGTTCAAGTGGGGAATAATGAACTTTTATAGCTTCCGGAACATTTGAAGTTCAATTAAAATCATTTGAAAATATCCCATGATAAATCATGTAGTCCTCTTTTTTTTTTAATTTATTTATTTTTTATCATTTTTTTTTTTGTTTAGATCAAGAATCTAATTATGTTCTGAAATTATCTATTTTTTCATTTTTTTTTATTTTTTTGTCTAAAAGTCCTATATATTGGTGAACTAAACATGGCCAAATGACATTTGAGACTATATTTGAAACTGTTATTAAGCATTTTAATACTATTATTCTGCTTTAACATACTGTAGTTTGAGATACACTTTATTATTTATCTTTAAGATGATTTAGAACTATATATTTTTACAAGTTAATTGTGTAATTGTGGAATATTCTACATGTTTTTATCAAGTTTAATTTATTGGAAATTACATGGAATATCTCACGAATTAAGTTTGACAACAAAGAAAGATTTCCATCAATATTGGTGAAAAAAAAAAATTCTCATTAAGCATCGGTTTTAAAACAAGCTACTAGTGTGTAGAATGGGAGTTGCGCTGAATTGTTACTTAAAGATATAATAGGAAAAAAATAGGATTTAAAAAGAATTACTTTTCTTTGTCTTGAAATTGTTGAGGTTATTCTTCTTTACTCATTTTTTTTCCAAGCTATATAACTATTGTATATATTTTTGTTTATTTGGAAAAATGAGTGAAGAAGAATGGGTATATATAAAACATAGATTATAATTAGTTTTGGCTATAAGATATTAATATGGTAATTAAGAAGTATGATCTTATATCCACATGATTCAGTGTTCGAAACTTGTGGGATTTACCAACACTTTGAGACCACTTTTATAGTTTTATTATGCATTTTAATAATATTATGGGACGGAGGATACTATTACATTATAATACAACTTTTGTGCATTAGCATACTAAAATTCGAGGCATCTTACCCTTTATTCATTATAATTATTTAACAATTGTGAAAAACAAATTAGAATCCCCTATCATATAGTAGTATTAAACTATATAGTACTTTCTTCATTCCTTTTTGTTTTCATTTGAAATCTTTACACTATTCATAAATTGATAAATGTTTTCTCTCTCTAATTTCCTCTTTCTCTCTCGAGGATCATCAAGGGTTATCCTTCTTGCTTAGGCAAGAAGGCCTTGGGAATCCTTGTCTGAGATCTAGTTAGCTTTCTTTCCTCAAATTGTTTTTCTTTTTCAGGTGTTTGGCCTTCGGTTTCCCTCCTATGTCATGTCCTGTCTCTTTTCTTTTCTCTTGTTTTCGTTATTTTAAGTTTTCATGAATTCCCAAAGTCCTTTAGTCTTCTAGGATGAATCTATGTTGACTGATTCCTCCATCGTCCTCAATATGGCAGTTCCCCCTGGTATGGTGGTTGACACTGTCTTTCCTACTTCTAATATGGTAGACAATGTTCATTCTGCTAACTTTAATCAGGTTATGGAGTGTATTGAGGGTTCTGTTAGTCCTACTCAAGCCCCTCCCAATCCTTCTAAGCATTCTTTTCGAGAGGCAGTACAAGCTTCCTCTCAATGGTTTTCTGAAGCTCAGAAGATTGTCATCTCTTCCACGGAATGGGAAGATGATTTGTGTTCACCCCCTGATCCCTCTAAGGTCGTCTCTTTTGGTAAAGACACCTTAAACAAGCTAAGGAAGCCTTGGAAATTAAACATAATGGGCAAATGCTTGGGTATATATTTCGGTTCGTCTCTCATTCATAACCCAACGGGTAAGAGCTATGTGGAGACCAAAAGGCTCTTTGGAAGTAATTGATCTTGGAAAAGATGTTTATATATATATTTCGATTCTTTGTTCAAGACGATTATGAAAGGGCTCTCCTTGGGGGTCCTTGGTTCATTCTAGATCATTATTTGATGATCTTTAAGTGGAAACCTAACTTCCGTCCTTATATGAATCCTTTCGACATAATGACGGTTTGGATTCGATTTCCTGAGTTACCGGTGGAATATTACGATAAAGAAGCCCTTTTTGATATAACGAAACTTGCTGGTAATCCATTACGAGTCGACTACGTTACAGATCATCTTACTAGAGCTAGATACGCTAGAGTTTGCATTGACATTTATATATCATCTCCCTTCATAACGAATGTCAGGGTTGGAAATAGTTGGCAATGTATTGAATATGAAAATATACAATGTCTATGTTTCCTTTGTGGAAAAATTGGTCACTCCAAAGACAAATGCACCTTAAGTCAAGTAGTTGTTGACATTGCTTCTCTTGATAAAGGTAAGAGCCTCTCACCTAATCACCTTGTTCCTAACAAAGATAATTCTATAGTGGATGATTTATCACCTTCCACTAGCCTAAATTCTAGAGTCAATGTCTCCCACTTCTCCTCTGAATATGGCCCTTGGACAATTGTTTCCAACAAGAAAAAATCACCAATGAGAAAAAATATTGCTACTCCTTCTAACCTCAATTCTCCATCTAAGACCAGTTCTATCTCAATCCATAGTTCTAACCCAGTCCTAACCCTAAGCCCAGTTCTAACCCCAAGCCCAAACAAACCCCATAGCCCAATGCTTCTACCCACTTAAGTCCACAAAAAAAAGAAAAAAACTTCAGCTTCTGCTGATTCAGCTACAAAAAATAAATTTTCTTCTAATGCTTTTGCTCTTCTAGACCCCACTATAAACCCCCCTCCCCAATCAGATTATAAACCATTTTTTAAATCAAGGCAATGATGATCTTAGCATAGAAAATAACAAAGGAAATCCCCCAAATCTCTCTTCTATTCCTCTACCCCCACACGCTTCCTCTTCTCCATGTCCTCTTCTTTCGACATACCTTTCTTGCCATTTAGCACCTCAACACTCGACTTCAACAATGGTGATCCATGCAAACCCTTCCACTTCCCGTATTATAACCCTCAATTCTCAGATTGCTTCCTCATAGAAAAATATTAACATTGAAACTCCTAACCAAGAACTAGCTTCCAATGGAGAAAAACAAACAGAAATTAACCCTGGTCTGTCCCCCACCTTGCCAGTCGGTGCGAGTCACCAGAAAGAATTCTCTATCCCCGACCCCTCAACAGTCCCAATTTCCTCCTCCGATCACCCTATCTCAACCTCGCCCTCTTCAGGGCCTCTCAATTACCCCGACGTCTCCCCTCTCAATGAGGATGTCGTTTTCTCCTTACCTGCCTCCTTATACTCCCTCAATTCCGTTTCCAACCAATCCCTCTATGACTTCGTCTCAAATCAAAGAGTTGGTTTAGACCACTCCTCAGCTTCCGACACCATTTCTATGGTCGTCGATCGAATCAGCCCCGACTCCGGCCAAAATCGAAATGATGTACAACACCCTCCTGCAGATCAATTCCTTCATGAACAACCAGTTCATCCACCACCAGCCTCCGCCACCACCCCCTCCAGCTCCTCAACCCCTGCGACCTTGGTATATACAACAGGTTGCATGGCCCAATTACCCAATTCACAGCCTAATTCCACCCCCAAAGAATCCTCAGATAAACAACCTCTCTTCGGCAAACAACGAACAAAATCTAGAAGAACCAGAAGACCTTATGAAAATCTTCTTGATTCCAAAAGGAGTGTTGGGTCTTCAAATAGATGTCAATTTCTGAGAAACAAAGAACATGATCAGGGAGTTTGTAACACCCCAATAATTCTCCCTTTTCCAAACCACTTACTTTAAATAAAAATAGAGGAGAACCATTGGCATGTTACCGCCACGTGTTAAAACGTTAAGGCTTTATCAAAGTATTGCAGCGGAAATCCAACTTAAATATTAAAATAATATAATTTAGAAAACCAATAAGTCAAAGCTTACAAATTGGAACCATAAAGGCCCTTATTAAAACCAAACCAATATTCCAAAATCCCAAAACATAATTAAAATAGTAAAACATAAATAAGTTCAACACAGAGAACGAATACTCTCAATCACACCAATCCCTTGACAATGCGTATGTCAAATCTCCGAACTTCACATCATCAAGCTAACCTGTGCAATACTGCTCCCCAATAATACAAGTGTAATAATTGGATCATCACAGGGTCATTGAAAGGCGAAGGCCATGACCAAAAGAAAACACACAAAAGCACGCAATCAGCAAAGCTGAGTACATACAAGCTACAACGTACCAAGCCTAGCATGCTCAACTAATTAAAGTAAATAAACATACAACACAAATTCATTAATCAAGACTCCACACTTAAACAATTCAATCAACTCAACATACTTGCTAATCAATTCCAAACACTTGACTCTTTATATTTAATTTAATTAATTTAGTTGGAGTAAGCAATAGACGAGGTTGTCCAATCCACCAAATCATTTTGGTCCCAAATGAACATTTAAAATAAAAGTTTAGCGCGATGCAAGAATGGGCGCGACTTCATTCTCACAAAGTTAGTCTAGGATCCCATCTAACTTTCATTATAAAATAAAAATGTAAATACCAAAAGAAAAGAGGACATGCTGATCAAATAAGCCTCGAAAAGCCACGGGCTACCACCGTGTACCCCAACCCATAATTGTCAATACTCTAGAAGGGCACGCTTTCCAGAGTTTTATTGCTCATCCATGTTTCACTTTACGTGATTACAATTTTAATTAATAGCCGACTCATTCAAGAAGACCATACATAACAATCATACATCAATTCACTTTTAATCTTATTTAGGACAATGGTGATCACATCACAAGTTGACCTTTAATTCCATTAAACTTCCAAATTATTCAAAATTGTTGAACATAGTCAACCCACCTAGCCATTTCGGCTTAATCCACTTTTACTCAACATACTAACAAGTCATGCTCGAGTAATAAAATAAATAACAACCTTGTGGAATAATTAATAAATTCACTCCACTTAAACCATTCAATTTCAATCCTTTAATAATCCAAATGTGGTTAACAAACCGATCCAATAAAAATATGCCTGTATCAACATTCCATACAAACAATTAATCCAATATAATTCAACATGTTTGCATCCATAATTCCATACAAACATAATCAATTCACCAAAACATGTCTCATAAACATAAGCACATGAATTAATTAAATGTATAACCAAACAATTTTCATCCAGGTGTTTTCTAATCATGAAACTAAGTTCTTTTCTTTGGTACCTAAACATGATACTACTTACAACGAAGTAGACATGTACGTACCTCGCATAAACAATCCTTTGTGCCACTTTTAATCACTTAAAAGTCTCCTAAGAAATAATCACTTCCTAGAAAACAAGCAACAATAATAAATTAATACTTAACCAAATTTCCAGCAATATAATTTAGATTAAAACTCCTTAAAAATTCATTAAAAACATGTTTTTATGGTTAATTATGCATTAGAAATACAATAGGAACAAAAGCCCCAATTTAATTAGTCATAAGAACCCTAAAATTCCAATTTAAATAAATTGAAACCCTAGGTTTTTAAACTTATAAATCTGAAAATTATAACAACAATTATAATCTGAAATTATTAGTTTAAAACATAAAAACATGATTTTGATACTAAAAATATAAACTTTATACTATAAAATCAAAACCCAAAACTAATCATAAACATTAAGCATAAAAAAAAACTTCGTTAAAAATCAAAAACTGCCCGAAAATCATATTTAGAGGCTGAATTTGGCCACAAGAGGGTGGTACTCACTACCAAAGGTAGTGAGTCTTTCTTAAAACATTGTTTCCACGTGGAAAACTTTACTTTTTTGTCAAAATCGGATGAGTTCAGAACCTGATCGGGATTAAAACGGGATTAATATTAACGAACCAAAATCTAAACATTAAAACACGAATTTACGTGTTCAAAATAATCTGGAATTAAGTTAAACTAATTAGTAGTATAATCACCAAAATTTCGAAACATCATTACTATAAAAGCCCTAAATCGATTGTTCATAAAAACCCTAAAATCATGATTTTCAATGATTAAAAACCCTAGGTTATTAAATTTACAAAATCTGAAAATTATAACATTTATAAAATCTGAAATTATAAAGTTTAATCATCAAAATACAATTTGATACTAATTAAATTAATTTCAAACAATAAAATCAAAACTCATAATCAATAATTATATTACACAAATTAATAAAATAAAGGAGAAAGAAAATAAGACTAACCTTTTGTGTGGGGAAATTTTTGGGGATGTATGGGGTATTTATAGGAGAGAGGGTAGTAGGGTAAGTAGGGATATTGGGCCTCATTAAATTAATGGGTCAATTAAGAAAGTAAACTGGGTTTGGTTTGTTTGTTGGACATAAATTATAGAAGGAAGGTTCATAAAAAGTTCTTTGTAATAAAATCGTTTATCAACCCCAAAAATAATTTGAAACTTTTGAAATTAAATTCCGGAAAAATACAAATAAATATTATAAATAATATATAATTTCATTTATAATATATTTAAAAATATGGGGGATTACAGAGTTAGACTCGATGCTTATCCCTCTGAAAATTCACGATGTTGTTCAAATGGAACGATCGGAGGCATGGAAGGAATGGGACAAGTTTGATGTCCTGTTCTGTAATGGAAAGCCAGTACCACCTTTTCTCGACCTTGATATGAAGATCGTCCTATGGAATGTTCGAGGAGCATCAAGGAATGAATTCATACCTCATGCTTTGGAGGTAATTTCTTCTCATAAACCCTCCATTTTCATAATACTGGAAACTAAAAGTGACGTTACTAGAGCCTCTCAAGTCTCCAATCTTTTAGGATTTGATAAATTCGAGTTTGTAAAGCCAAATGGTCTTAGGGATGGTATTTGGCTCATGTATAAAAGTAATGTTGAGCTAATTGACTACATCGAAGGTCATACTAGGAATTACTTTCATGCCTTGTTTAAATTTTCTTCGGACAGTAAGGAAGTTCTCCTCACAGCTGTGCATGCTCCTTCCTCCCCTTCGAAGAGGCATCGACTATGGAATGATCTTCACTCTTCCTTACCCCCTGACGACACTCCATGGCTCTTCTTAGGTGACTTGAATGAGGTCACTAATCCCTCTGAAAAATCTGGAGGTCTAAAGTTTAGACAAACTCAATGCTTTAACTTAAATAAGTTAGCTGATATAGCCTACTTGGTTGATCTAGGCTTCTTTGGCAATCCTTTCACTTGGCACAACGCTAGAGAAGTACTTGATATTATTCAGGAGAGACTTGACAAGGCTATGGGAAATCCGACCTGGCTTAACACCTATCCCAATACTCAGGTATCACATCTTGCCCGCACTTATTCTAATCATTGTCCCATATTAATCTCTATTTTTGATAATCGGAAAGGAGGCCCTTATCCCTTTAGGTGTAAGGCTGCATGGCTTGAACATCCCGACTTTTCTGATTTTTTCATTATAATTGGAATTTGCATGACTTTGATTTCTTAAAAGGCAGGGATGAGTTTTTATTTAATATAAAAAAGTGGAATCACAACATTTTTGATAATATTACTAATAAAAAAAGGCACTTGATTGCTAGAATCAATGGTATTCAGGTTGCCCTTTCTAAAAGATTTTCTGCTTTCCTAGTCTCTTTAGAGAAAGATCTGATTTTTTGTAATCCCCCGTATTTTTAAAATAATTTATAAATGGAATTTTATTTCATTTATAATATATATTTGTATTTTTCCGGAATTTAATTTGAAAGTTTCAATTTTTAATTTGGGTCGAAAATTATTTTGGTACAATTTTTTTTTTTTACATACCATCATTCTATAATTCATGTCCAAACAATCAAAGTCAACCTCACTTTACTTACTTAATTAGCCCATTAATTTAATGAGGCCCAATATTCATATTTACCCTACAAATCTCTCTCCTATAAATACTCCATACATCCCCAAATTTTCCCCAAACAAAAAGGTTAGTATTTTCTTTTCCCTTTTATTTTTTTTTCTTTCCTTTCTTTTATTTTTCTTTTTCCTTTTTCTTTCTTTTCTTTTTCTTTTTTTTCTTTTCCTTTCTTTCTTAAGTGAGTTTTCACTCACCTTGCTGCCCCCCACCGATTGCCACCTACTGCCACACCACCGCCGGTCACCGGCGCTGCCCCTTGACCGCCGACGCACCACCAGCAGCGCGGCCCACGTGGCTGCTTGCTCTCTCTTCTCTCTCTTCCCTTTCTTTTTTTTTTTTTTTGTTGTTCAATGTTTGTTAAATTAGTTTTGGGTTTTGATTTTATAATATAAAGTTTATATTTTTAGTATCAAATTCATGTTTTTGATAGCTTAAACTTATAATTTCAGATTTTAATTATGTTATAAATTTTCAGATTTTGTGATTATAAAACCTAAGGTTTTAATTTATTGAAATTGGGATTTTAGGGTTCTTATGATCAATTAATTTGGGGCTTTTATTCCTATTGTATTTCTAATGCATAATTAAGCATAAAAACATGTTTTTGATGAAATTTTAAGGATTTTTAATCTAATTTATATTGCTGGAATTTTTGGTTAAGTATTAATTTATTGTTGTAGGTTGTTTTCTAGGAAGTGATTTTTACATAGGTGACTTTTAATTGATTAAAAGTGGCACAAAGGATTGTTTATGCGAGGTACGTACATGTCTACTTCGTTGTAAGTAGTATCATGTTTAGGTACCAAAGGAATAAACTTAGTTTCATGATTAGAGAACACTTGGATGAAAATTGTTTGGTTATACATTTAATTAATTCATGTGCTTATGTTTATGAGACATGATTTGGTGAATTGGTTATGTTTGTATGGAATTATGGATGCAAACATGTTGAATTATATTGGATTAATTGTTTGTATGGAATGTTAATACAAACATATTTTTATTGGAATGGTTTGTTAACCACATTTGGATTATTAAAGGATTGGAATTGAATGGTTTAAGTGGAATGAATTTATTAATTATTCCACAAGGTTATTATTTATTTATTTATTTATTAGTCAATCATGCCTTGTTAGTATGTTGAGTAAAGGTGGATTATTAAGCCGAAATGGCTAGGTGGGTTCACTATGTTCAACAATTTGGATAATTAGGAAGTTTAATGGAAATAAATTTGGAAGTTTAATGGAAATAAAGGTCAATTTGTGATGTGATCACCATTGTCCTAAATAAGATTAAAAGTGAATTAATGTACGATTGTTATGTATGGTCTTCTTGAATGAGTCGACTATTAATTAAAATGGTAATCACGTAAAGTGAAACATAGATGAGCAATAAAACTCTAGAAAGCGTGCATTTCTAGAGTATTGACAATTATGGGTTGGGGTATTGATATGTCCAATTTATATAGTGTTTTACCCCCGTCCCACGGTCATAATTAGTAGTGTTTTTGGCTCTTTAGGGCCACTTTTATTACTAATTTATGTTTTCTAGTGTTTTCGTAGTTTTAGTTGAGTTTTATAGGAAATTGCACTTTTGGAGCATTTTCCCGGGTTTTCATGGACCGAATACGGAAGCTAGAAGGACACGACCACTCTTTAAGCCCAGGATCGGTGAGAGCCGAAGATTAAGGGCTCAGTATGAGATATCGAGGCTATTGGATCGATTAATAAAGACCCGATGAGGAAATCCAGATTGGGCCGAGGAATTGAGCCCAATCGAAATCCAAGCCTCGAAGAAGAAGACCGGGCCCGATCGGGCAAGCATACGCTCGATCGGGCGGATGCGCGCAGAAGAACCCTCAAGGAAGAGGCGCGCCCGATCGGGCGCGGCATACAAAGCATGGGCAAGTAAAAAAAGGGGGCCCGATCGGGCGCGTGTTTTCTTAGGGGATGATTAGTTTTGTGTTAATTTTTGTTTGAGGAATGTTTAAGTACGAATTATGTACGTAAATTCTAATGACCTTCTCTCTTAGACTTTCTCTCTCTACTTAGGATATTTTCTCTCTCAACTTTGTTCTTGATTATTTTCATTAATACAGATTTCCTTTGGTAACTATTTCTCTTCTCTTAATCTTAGTTGTTATTTTATTCCTTTAATCATGTTTTGTTTTATTGCCTTGATTAGTTTAGTTTCTATTATGTGTGAGTAGTTTTCTTTCTAGGGTTTGTGGGAATCCATAAATAATATGAAAGGGTAATTTATTGTTGTTGATTGTCAATGCTAGATTAATTTCCTATTGATTGATTTAATGCTCTGTGACTAGATTAGGCCTGATCTCTTATGCATGAGTTTGACAATATTGATTCGAGATTCGACAGATGAGAATTGATGTTTAGGTCCATTTTCAATAGGCAGGTTAATTTATAAATGGTTAGGTCAAGATTTGAAAGATGAGATTTAATACCGGTAAATTAATTGTGTTATTATAATACGTAGCGAAAGCCCTTTATAATCTGATTAATTATGCATTGATGAATGATTATTATATTCAACCCTGGAATATTATTTATTGGTGAACCTATGCCCTAGATCCTTTTATATATATTATTTTCTCCTTATTCTTGATCTCCGTAGTTTAGTTTATTATTCAAATATAAATATTGGTTACTTCATAATCTAGATTATATTAGTTAATTAGGAATAGAAAGACTCGTTTCTCTGTGGATTCGGCCCTACTTCCCTATCTACTTTAGTTAGAAGACTTAGGTAAATACATTTGATTAGGAGATACGACTTTACCCTGTCAAAATTTGGCGTTGTTGCCGGGGAAACGGTTTTATTTTTATTTCTGATTATTTTTGTAGTCTAGATTATTTTCTTTTTGTCTCAGAGAACGTTAGTTCTCTATTTTCTTTTAGTTTTTTTTGTTTATGCCCAGGTGTTCCAGATCAGGGTACATCCCATTCGATCCTGAGATCGAACGTTCCTTCCATAGACAGAAAAATCTCTACAAGCAAATCCTGCCAGATTCTGGTGATAATAATAATAATCACCGCGATCCTCCAACTGGTTCTAGCGATTAAGAGGTATCATCAGACGCAGAATTAGAGATGGCGGCTCCAAAGAAGCTTAGTGATTACTCACACCCAAAGCTTACAGATTTTCCACATCTCACCCCCACTCCGGCTCTTGATGGGGTACAATTTGAAATTAAACCTCAATTTATAACGATGATAGAGAGGAAGCAATTCAGTGGAGCTAAGGGTGAAGACCCAAATCTTCACATTGCCGACTATTGTCAATATTGTAATACCATCAGGCAAGTCGGGGTCACTCAAGACCAAATCAGGGAGATTCTCTTTCCCTTCTCTTTGAATGGAAACGCTAAATTGTGGTTTAATGGCTTAAATAGAACTGCGTGCACTTGGCATAACTGACTGGGAAACTCTAGTTTTGAATTTTTATAACAAGTATTATCCTGCAGAGAGAACAGCCGTACTACGAAGTGCAATTCAGAACTTTGCCCAAGAAGCCGATGAATCTTTATATGAGGCTTGGGAGAGGTTCAAGGACCTACAAAGAGAATTCCCCCATCATAATTTAGCACAATGGCAGTTAATCCAAGCCTTTTACAATGGCATTTGAAATTCTTCTAGAATAATTTTAGATTCTGCAGCTAGTGGGAGATTTATGAATCTTAATGTTGATGATGCAGGTCAGGTTATTGAAGATATGACGATACAAAATTCCTAATATGGGAATCCTAGAGGGTTTGCTAACAAAGGGAAACATAGCGTTGACTCTGTATCCTTTTTGCAAGCTCAATTGACCTTTATTTGCCAAAAATTGGATAATCTGAGCACTGCTAATGTAGCTAATGTTTCTGCAATTAATAATAATTCTAATGAGGCTTTCTGTGAAAATTGTGGAATTTTAGGTCATTGGGAACAAGATTGCAGGAGTTCCGTGGAGCAAGTTAATGCCTTCCAAGCTTATAGGCAGAATAACCCATACTCCAACACCTACAATCGTGGGTATCGGAATCATCCGTACCTTTCCTACCGGAGTACTAATGTTCAAAATCCACCACCACAAGAACCACAGGCGCCACAGCAACAGCAGCAGAAATATTATCATCCCAATGCTGGCCAGAAGAACCAACCACAACAACCCTCCTCATCTTCCGACCCTTCTTTGGTGGAAATTAGAGCAATGTTGGTTAATTTGTAGAAGCACATGGAGAGTAGAGATGCGACAATTGATCAAATTCTAGCACACAATAAAATTGTAGATAATCAAATTGCGTAACTTTCCGCTACTCTACAAGCCCGCCAGCAGGGAGCTCTGCAGGCACAGCCAACCAGGCCTACGGATCAAGCCTATATAATTACTCTAAGGAGTGGTTCAAACTATGAAGGGCCCTCTATGCCCAGAGTTGATGAACCTGTTTCATTAAATAATGCTAATCTTGATCCCGTTAAACCTGACAATGTAGTTAATAGCCCTGCAGGGCTAAAGCATAGTACTAATACATCTAATTCTACATTGCAGGGTACGACTCCAGAGAAGGTGGCCACTCCAGATAAGAGCAATAA